TCGGCAATCCAAAGCAACAGATATTTATCTTTCTTGTTGCAGAACGTGAAAGGCAACTTCATTTTGACTCTCTTTTCTCTTTGGCTTCTCAGGTTGTGTGGTGGTGTCTTTCTTTCCATCGAGAGACGTCAGCGGATTTGAAAGCTCCCCTTTCTTCTCGTCCATTTTGGGAGTTTCTTCCTTTAGAGACTTCATGGCATCTCCCATCAACTTCTTTGGCTTTTCTTCTTTGACTTATTTGACTTCTTCTGACACTTGATTCTTTCCCTTGACCAGATTGGTAATTATCTGCAGTCCTGCAGTCGCATCATCGATTCGTTGACCATACTGATCGATTTTCATTTCAAGGTGAGCCAAATAAGTCACCAGTTGAGCCAAAGAAATTGTTTGATCTTTCCCTTCGGTCATAATAACAGTTTGTCTAATTTCTTGTACCTTCTGCTCTTGCTGTATATTTCTTTCTTTTTCCTTCCTTAATTCCTCCTTCCTTTTCTTTTCCCGTTCAAGTGCTTCTTCTAGTTGTCTGATATTTTCATCCACAGCTTCTTCAGACACAACTACTTCCTTCTCCTCTTTCCGATCTGGAATCTTTGTAAGTTGCTCAACGATGTACTTATCAAGTGCCTGATTGATTAGTTCATTCTGAGCTTGCATGACGTCAGTGCCCGTTTCATCCGATTCAATAGCAGTGTGCACTGCTTTTAAATCGAACTGGGCCCTTACATGGGCCTCGGCTTCTGCACTGGCGTCATGAAGTTCAGAAATCAGTTTGTCCAAGCGGCCTATGAGAACTCTCTTCCACTCTTCCACTTGCTGTCTAGTTTGGGGATCAGGTGTCTCCTCATCAATACCAAAGATGAGTGAAACAGGATACAAAAGGAGAGGAATAAATCGAGTGAGTGCGGACAATTTCAGACAGTTCCAAAAGAAAGACATCTTGATGTGTGTCTGCCGCACAATAAATACTCAATAGCAAGAATAAATTCCACGGCCGCACTATTCTACAACAGAAAGGATTTCGGTAACTGAAGAAGAAAAATAAATACAATTATTTCTACTTTCTAACTTTCGTTCTTCTTTGTCTGTCTGTGTCATGACATCCTAGTCAAGAGTGTACAGGTACCACCTCAGGCCCGTGTGATCAAATACAACACACAAGTACGCACAGCACCACAACACAGCAAATGACAGGGTACGTATGCCAACATCAATCAGCAACAATTTGTCAGCAATCTTCTTCTTCTTCCCTGCGCCGTTCCTGGTGTCAATGCGACACTGCACCGCTCTTGACAGCTGGCACTACAGCTGTCCAATCAGCCGTACAGTCAGCCGTACCACCTTCGTCTTCGCGGTGCAACTCTAACTTGGCAGCCACTTGCCTGCCACGTGTCATCCTTGGCGTGCCAACATAGCAGATCTGCCACGTCAGCACATCAGTGTCTAATCAATCAATAGTGGGATGCCACATCAGCAAATGTGTTCTCTGGTCCTTCACACTTGCCGCTTCCTCACGTCTTGGTGTGATACCGTTGCTGCTCCAGCCAATCAAGTCAATGCCACGTCAGCCTATGAAGCCAATACCACATCCGCAAGCTTGCCGCGTCAAAAGACAATCGTGTATGACACGTGCCTGCCACGTCAGCAATCAGCCTTGATGTCCAAAGGCCACGTCAGCATCAATACCGGACTTGGTCGTGCCTCAGCTGCTAATGCAGCATGAGAATGCCACGACAGCAATCTCGCGCAACCAAGTCTCTAGACGTGGCATATCACCAAGTCTCTAGACGTGGCATATGATATGCCACGTCAGCATGGGATCGCAATGCCACCTCACTACTGCGATCCTGGTTGGCGCGCGATCACTCTTGATCGCGATCCTGACTGCCACGTCAATAGTCGCGTCGGGATCTGGTCTTCTCGCCAGCGATTTTCGTGTCACGTCAGCAACACCGGCGGTCTTCGTCGTTGTCCACGTCAGATCTCGTTGTCATCACATCATACCTGCGCCACTTGGCGCACGCGCGTCGTCGTCAGGAGTATGCTCCGATACCAAATTGTAATGAACCCAGATCGTGAAGACACTTGTCAACAATGCAAGCCCAGATAAATATCAACCTGCTGATGATTTACCAATAATCATAATCGTGTGCAGATAGAATGAGATGGGAGAACCATACACAGACGAAGGAGAAGGGAGGGAGATTAGACAAAGAAGAGGAAGAAGACCAATGCCCACTTCTGCTTCGGGCTCCCTTTTCGATCACCACCTCAAATAATCAATAGTCTGGACGCACATCTAAAGTTTTATTACAATGTGCCACGTGGCACGTCGATCAGTCCTTCATCAGCGTACTACAGCAATGTCGACCTCAAGATAACCAAATACGTGTCCACAATCATCCCACAGTCACGATCTCCTCCTGAGTGACGATGAATCAGAACAGCAGTGCCGGTTACATAGCCCAGCCACGTCAGCAACAGTACACGTGGAGCGGCCACGTCAGCAGCAACGTGCGGCAGCTGCCACGTCAGCATGCCCTGAAGACAATAGCCAGCCAGCCACCACGTCGAGCCAGCAGCGGGTCGCCGTAATCACACAAGTGCCAGCACAAAGCCAGCGTCCAACCAGCGTCGCAGCATCGAGCCAGCTTGCGTCGTCAACGCGTGAAGTCAGCATTGACGCAAGACTGAATGAATGTCAAAGTCAGGAAGTCAGCGCTTAAGTAGCGTTGACGCGGGGTCTGGACCCCGGATGCTGCATCCCTCAGCTGTCCAGATGTCAATGCAAATATCGGCCCAGATTGACCTGAAACCGAATTCCTTCTAGCCTGGATGCTGTCTGAGTACCTGCGCACAACAAGGGAGTGTATCCGACCAAGGGCCTGGGCGCGGTACCTTTGACCTGACAGTTGGCTTAGACTTTTGATATTCCCACGGGCAGTGTGTGGTCACACTGCCTGGCGCAGGGCGAGTTTGGCCTGCGTCGTCTGGGCTCCGTTTCAAGGGCCCAGACTGCTTGTTACATGCTGAAAGCCTACACACGGGCCCCTCACGGGACCCGAGGTTGGAATAGGGCCCCCARGACGCGTCACCGCAACCTGAAGGCCCTATGGCATTTTCACTTGGGCCTGCATCAGAAAAACGCCAGCTTTAGATTATTTTTATATTCTTTTATTTATTTATTTGCTGCTGTTTTTCTAACGGTTGTACTGTTGTCCGTTTTGTGGCCAAGTACACGTTTTAGGACAAGGGCCAGATTCAGGCCCAGAGGCTGAGCTCCTAAAAACGTTTGGACCTTTTCTTTTGTTTTCCAACAGATTGCTACCTGTTCGGACCCAGGCCGACGTTGAGGCCGGGTACATCCGCACAGGACCGGTTCGAAGCCAGGTACCAGGAAACTGAATCCTGGACAGGGCCTGGACGTCCGGTAGGGACCCAGGCAGGCCGTTTTAGGCCAAGGACTGAACCAGTTTCAAAGCCTGCGATCTGGACCGTGGATCAAAGTTTCGATCTGCATGGCCCAGAACGCAGGCCGTGGGTTTTCAGTCCTGGCCCAGCGCAACTTAAGCTGGGCCGTTGCCCAGTTCGTGGACAGAAGGTACCAGGAGAAATCCAGCGTTATGCTGGTTCAGGAACTTCGCTGCTGCGCTATTCTGGTGACTCCCTGCTGCGCTATTTTGAGGCACAGCGCTGGAGGAGTCCAGCGCCGAGGAGGGTAGTGGAGTTAGAGAGAAGAGGACTTACCTGTACCAGCACCATAGCTGGGTCCGCGGTACCTGCATTCAGCCATCGCCAGGTAAGTGCAGAAAGCGCCTAGCTTTCTTCTTCTTCTTCTTCTTCTTCTTCTTCTTCTTCTCCTCTCCTCTTCTCCTCCTACTCCTCCGAAGTTCTTCTTCTTCTTCTTCTTCTTCTTCTTTATCAGAGTAGAGATAGAGGTAACTGCAGACATTGTTTGGACACGGCCTTCTGCCTTATTGGACACGACATTCAGATCGGACTTACACTCTACATTGGGATTGAGCTGTGTGCGACATTCGGAGATCAGTTGGACTTGGTTACCTCTATGTCCCTCCCCCTTCTCTCTCGCATGTCTATGGATCTCTCCCCATGTGTGTGAGCGGAAGGGCAATCTTTCTGCTGTCTTGCCCTTACGAAGTTTCTCCCTTTCATGTTGTTGTCCACGTGTCCTCTTGATACTAAATCTTCCGCTGCGCTGCTTCCCAGCCTATGATGATGATGATACGAATGTGTTGTTATTGATTTCCCGTTGTTTCACTCTTTGCATCGCGCACATTGACACCTTGTGAATGTTGCACCTATGCTGCTGGTTGTTGCCACTTTCGTCATTGCTAGATCC